GTTGTTTCATTCCACGAGCCAAGGAGTACTGCCTGCAACAAGGGGTTACGTTCAAGATTTTATTAATTTTAGATAATGCTCTGGGACACCCACCACACCTGGACAACCTGCACCCTGATGTTAAGGTAGTCTACATTCCACCTAACACTACCTCTATCATCCAACCCATGGATCAAGGTGCTTTTGCTGCTTTTAAAGCGTATTATTTACATACGACTTTCGCTCAGGCTATTGATGCTACTGAAGGTGAGAAAACACTCAGAGAGTATTGGAAGGAGTACAACATTTTGAAATGTATAAAGAACATAGCTGCAGCATGGGATGAGGTTACAGGTCAGTACATGAATGGAATATGGAAGAAGGTTCTGAAAAGATATGTGAACAGTTTCATAGGATTTAATGAAGATGAAGCAATTTCTGAGATTAATAACAAGATAGTGCAGAAAGGTAAACAGCTTCAGTTAGAAATTGATAATGAAGATGTTGAGCAGTTGGTGGAAAGTGTAGCAAAAGAGCTAAGTAACGGGGATCTTATTGAACTGGATGCACAGAAAATTGCAGAGGAAGAAGAGAGACAAAATGTAGAAGAACCTGCACCCCCCAAAAATTTTCAGTGAAACAAATGGCAGAGGCATTTGCTACTATTAATAAGGGGATGCAAATGTTTGACGAAATGGATCAAAATGTTGAGCGTTTTGCAAAAGTTGACAAGAGTGATCCAAGATGCACTTGCTTGCTACAGGGAGATTTACAATGAAAAGAAAAGGCAAACTGTGCAGTTTAAATTGGATATATATTTTAAGAAGTCCCCCACTGCTGTCTCCTCATGCCCCACCACTGCTGCCTCTTCACTCCCTAAAGATGACCCAATACCTTCAACAAGCAAGTACGTTAGCAAGCTTCATTCAATTAATGTAGTCTCCATGTTTAATTGAAAAATTATTGGGGCCCCGTGTGCATTCAGCTGACTACATTAAAGATAAGTACACAGTCACACTTTATCATTTTTCATTATTGATTACTTTTACTGTACCGTATTTCATTTTAGATTTTCTATGTATTATTTTCGCATTTTCGACTTACGACCTGGTCGTCGGTCCCTAACCCCGTCGTAAGTTGGAGACTAAGTGTATCATGTTAAAAGAAACACTCATAAATCAACACAGCTAAAATTAAGGGATGTGAAATGGTCGGTTTACTGGCTGGGAAGGGAGGGATGTGAGGTGATATGTTTGACAGTTGATGCCAAGGTCTAATGCTTATTTATTTATCTGTCCTTAAGAGTGACATTAACTTTTTCTCTTATAAATATCACTAAACTGACCTGGGAGAATATAATTAACATTGCTGGAATTCCTATAAGATAGTGATTAGTTTGAATATAAACATGCTATAGTTCGCATTAGACATGCAAATTTTATTTCTAACTCTTGTGCAAAATATATGACGTTTATATTCAAATTAATTCGCTGTCTTGCAAGGATTCTAGCAATGCAAATTATATTTTCTTAACTTTAGACTGAGATACTATATAAGATAAAAACTTAAGCCTACTGTATAACCACCAAACCTTGGCTGGGAGGGAGGGAGGGGAGGTGACAGTGACATGTTTGCCAGTTGGCGCCAAAGGTCTAGTAAAGTACAGTAAGATCTTGCATTTCGCAAGTACAGTGGGGTATGCTATAACGAGTCTAATTGGTTCTAGAACTTTGTTCGTTATAGCATTCGTTCGTTATAGGATTAATCCGTTCCAGGCCCCCAAATACAACCGCTTAACACTGAAAAATATAATATAAAATTTTTAAATTTTTAAAAAAGTGCATAAATATGCATCTAAACCCCTGAAATAAAGAATATCATTAATACTTGTAATAAAAAAAACAATAAATTAGTAAAAAAAAAAAAAAAAATTATTATTTTTTTTAAATAATGTTCGTTGTAGGAGTTTCGTTCGTTATAGCATTCTCAATTTTATAGGTAAAAGCGTTCGTTATAGGAATATTCGTAGTAGGATCCGTTCGTTATAGCATACCCCACTGTAATATAGAATGAAAAAAATTTTGCCAAATTCAAATTCGCCAAATGCAAATACATAAACTAATGGGAAAAATAACAATATAGACTGGCCACTCTACATCAACCTTTGATTTTCCCATTTATAACCTCCAAATGATACAAATTCTGCCTTTATTGACCTGATTGTGCTTTCCGGAAACTAGTTTTTAGGCCTTCCTCAAGTTATTTAATCACAAGCTGCTTATCCTGCATTGAGTACTTGGCAAACTTAGGTCCCTTATGATAGTCCCGCTTCTCCTTTTCCTTATATGGCCGCTAAGATGGGTCTGTCCCACCAGCACCAGTAGGACCCCAGTAGAGGTAGAGGCCATTATCTTGACTCGACAGGTGGTAACACCACCCAAAAAAGCACACAATAGCAGCCCGACCGGTCGCTAGGATGGCGCGAGCTACAACGCGATAGTTGCTTTCTTGTAAACCTCTTTTGCGTTCACCACCGGCAATTCAATCACTAGAACGCTTCTTGGAAACAATCTTCTTACCTTGTCTTTCCATATTCATCGCTAACACAACAAAATTCGAGAAAATAGCGAAAATCACGGAGCAATTGACAGAAACCACGTGATTCAACTGATCACGTGATGTAAACAGAGAGCGCTGGTGTAAACCGTTATTAGTCCTCACTGCAAAACATTCTTTTAACTTTTTCTTTTCATACAGTATTTATGGGTAACAGTTAAATTTAAAAAAAAGAAAAAAATTTACAGTCTCTCAAAAAACACTTCACAAACAAAAGACACGAATCAGTTGAACATGTGATGTCGAACGTGAACTGTAAACATTACATAACCCTACGCCACGCTCAAAACATTGAGGATGGAATCGTGTTATAGCCATCATTTGAATGCAAAAGTTCTCGTTTTGCAAACAGCGTTCCCCTATTCATCAATCGCGTTACAACCAATTCGCTTTGATAAAACACTCGTTGTAACAGAAATGACCAACTGGTATGAGGGCTGTGACGTCATTCAAGACGGTGGCCAGCGTTCAGCTGGCTGGATCTCGCGAAACTCGTGATATTTTACGCGAAACTCATATTTTACGCCAAATATAAGGCTTGGTTACATTAGGTAGTGCTCGCGAAATTCAAAAATGTGAAATATGAGATCTTACTGTATTTATTTGTTTATTTATGTCCTTTAGATGGATTTTTTGTTTTTAATGTCAGAGAAGTGACCAGGGAGAATATAATTTACATTGCTGAAATTCTTATATGATAGTGATTAATTTGAATATAAACATGCTATAGTTTGCACTTGACAAAAAGTTACAGTAAAAGTCCAAAAATCTGGATGCCAGAAATCCGGACCACCCGAGAATCCGGACTTTTAGGAAATTCAATTTTTTTTTTTTTTTTTTTTTTTTAGCGGGCTTTTGTGTGTATGTGCGCATGCGTGAGTGCCACAGCTGCACAGCGACAACAAGCGACCACGCGGTCGCCACTTTAAAAAGAGCAATCAAACTGTGACAATGTATGTAATTTTGAGTCCTACTCTTTTCATTTACAGAGTACTATACTGTACAAGCCCATAATAATGGCTCCTAAAGTAGATAAACTTCGTTGTGTGAAGAGAAAGAAGAACACGTTGAAATTGAGTGACAAACTTGAAATAACTAAGAAACTAGAACATGGTGTGAGCAATACTGTTCTAATGGAAACATACGACACTGGAAAGTAAACAATTTATGATATAAAAAAGGCAAAGACTAAAATTCTAGAATTCACAGCTTTTTCCTTAAAACTGCTCGTTTTGATAAATGAAGCATGCTATATTTGCTAATGAATAAACTATCAAAATGTACCTGTTCATCTCTTCTTTATTCCTCATTAAATTTGAATTTTAAAAGTACTGCCTGAGAGTCCGGATAGTCCAAAAATCCGGACCAACCCAATCCCCAAGCAGTCCGGATTTATGGACTTCTACTGTAGTAATCATTTAGTACATTATAGTATACAGGTAGTTCCCGACTTACGACCAACTCGACTTACGCCCACCTGCACTTACGATCGCCTCAGGCGTACTAAAATGTGGTCAAATTATGTATTTTTGAGTCCCAAAGTCAGTACAGAGACAAAATTTTCATCTGTAATTCACTTTAAAATGGCTGGCAAGCTTAAAAGTGAGTGTTTTGTGGTGCTGAAAAGAAAGAGAGACCTAAATTTTCGATTTTCTATGTGTTATTTAAGCATTTTCGACTTACAACCATTTCGACTTATGACCTGGATGTCGGTCCCTAACCCCTTTGTAAGTCGGGGAGTACCTGTAGTCTCGATTTACGCGGATTTCCTTTACACGTTTGATCATTTACGCGGCACCTGGCCAGGCCGGCAATTATTAGTTACGCGGTACATTCCATCACTTACGCGGGAAGCGGCGCGGGCAGGGTGCGCACAAGGTCGCCCAGTCAACAAAACATTACCGAGTTCTTCACTCGCCACCCACCACAGCCAGCCCAAGTCAGTGATAGTGAGGATATGGACTTTGAGGGGTTTGACAAAGAGGCCCTGCAAGCCTCTGTGGTGGATAGTGAAACAGGTGATACAAGTGATACAAGTGATACAGGTGAGGGCCAATAATCTGCCCTCTGCCTCGGAACCAACCCCCCATCCACGTGTGCCCAGCCATCTCTTCTACTAACGTAAGTGTTAAAAAAACCTAATATTATTGATATTTCTCTTAAATATTAATTGTGTGTGCATACCATCATAAAATTAAGATGTTATTTTTACTACAACGTATGTATTGTGTCGGAAAAAGTGGAGTTTGGGGGTCGGCCCGGTCTCTATTTCAATTAATCCCATATGTTCTGTTATTTCGTTTATGCGTTTCTCGTTTTACGCGGAGCTCCACGGGTTTAATTGACCGCGTATACCGAGACTATACTGTATTTTGAGTACATGTACAATACAGCTTTGCCCTTAGGACAGTGTAGCGTGCCCAGAGAAACATTAGGCGCAAATTTGAAAATATGATGCGCCAAATTGACTCGCGCAAAATAGGAAAGATTCGCTTTAAATTTAAGCATTGTCCTTAATTTTGGGCGTCGCTTTAAATCAATAATCTTTATTTGAATCGCTTTAAATCGACATTCTACTGTATAACTATTTATTAATATGAGCTGACGACACTACTAATGTTTATTATTTTTTTTTACGGGGATTGGCCCACCCGGGCACAGGTCAACGACCCACATCAGGGCCTAGAGGGTGAAAAAAAGAATAGAGAAATTAGAAATAGAAAAGGAAAGGGTTATATTAATCTACACTGTGAAGATTAAGTGTGATGCTAATATCATGTTTACTGAATGAAATAAACCATATAATATATAATATTTTGGTGGGGAGGTTTGGCACAGTGACTTGCTATCAAGTAAGGGCAGAACAACCTGTTCACCCAGCGGCCGACTGTATCACGAATTCCTGGCCCAGACTGTACCTCTGCCACCCCTATACTGTACACTTTCCCCAGACACTCCACAATCATAAGTGTCTACCACACTAATCATGGCTTCATGTTTACTTCCCTTTTTTTTTATCTTTCATCCAATTTTTGTGATTCTTTAATTCGCTTTTGAAGGAAAATCCAAATATTTCAGTGTGCTATTATAAAAAGAAATGTATTAAATATAATTATACAACAAATAGAATGACCCCAGGAACATAAAATCACCTTCAACATAATATTCTGACGCTCTCTTCCCACTTCCATACATGAATGAGAGAGAAAGAGAGAGAGAGAGAGGTAGTAGAAGACCTCTCCCTTTCTCTCTTTCTATTTCCCTCCTCAATCTTCTCTAACTTGTTCTCTGAGGTGGAAATAAAGAATAGAGATGGAGATAAGGAAAGCCTATCTCTTTCAGACAAGTATACAAAGGTGTTGTTTTGATCACTTAGCTCATCCACCCATGGAAGGTTTGTTATGGTTAGGTTAATGTTGCCTCTCACAGCTCAGGAAGCATGTCTTCTGTCACAACACCTATAATTTTGTTAAATTTTTTTTACCTACGTATTTCTTAAATAAATATTTTCCATGTTTATGTTACATATCATGTGGAAAGCCAATTTTGGAAAGAAGTACAGTATACAGTATTAATTTTAGGGTAATAATTCAGGACCAATAACATAAACCCATATTTCCCACAGGTCCTAATTATTTCTAATTTGCAATACAGTATTTACAATCTGTGGGGTATGTAGCAGCCTAAACCAGTGGATCTGACGAAATTTACTGCATATCTAACCAAAAGTTTACTTTATATATAAATGCTAACTACAAAATTTCATCACATTGTAAATATTAGCTAAGAAAATCAACAACTTCATCCAGCTCTCTCTGTTTAGCTTGCTTGTGTGCCCATCTGGCCTCAACTGTCTCAGAGGTCAATTTCCATTTATCGTGATAAATCCTTGCCCCACATGTGTGGCAATTCTTGCCTTTTTGGAAAGGTGGGCTTTTGATAAATGTATCAAGGCATTTGTTGTGGTATACGTGGCCGCAGTATATACGCTCTATGTGCATCTCTGCTGATTCATCACACACTATATTCTGAAATAAAAGATGACTGAGTTTACATAACTTAAAAACTTACATAGTCTGTCTAAAGTTAATAAAAAGGAAATTAATTCAAATGAGCAAACAATTACTTCATTGATTATATATCCAACCAAGAAGTGATAATTAGTGAAAATGTATAACCACTCTGTTGAGTGGTAACCCAATTTATAGTGCAACCAATGATGTATGGTATACAGTGATATTCCCATTAGCTAGAACAATTGGTTCAGAGCATTTCCGGGGATGAGAGATTTCCAGCTAACCAGGTGACTTTCCCAAACCCGGAAAAATCCCCCATCCCCGGAAATATTTCCGGTTACTGAAAATACTTTCCTAGTGTCTAAACTATGCTTCTTGCACAGACAAACACTAGCCTACATCCTCATAATGTTTCTGTGTGCTGGGGAGTTTTCCAAGAATCTAAAAAAAAAATCTATATGATATGGTCATGATTGAAGCTGTGTGTTAGAGCAAAGACTGGTACGTATTTTCCACTCCCTATGAGCTGTGAGGGATTAGTGGGTCTCATGTAACTGACCTGACCTGACACAATGTCAGGTGGAGGTAGGGTGTGGTATTAGTGGTCTCATATTACTGACCTGATACAATGTCAGATCACCCATTGTCGGATGGGGGATTAGTAGGTCTCAGGACCTGAAGATGTCTTGAATAAACATGAAAGCTAAAATACAGTATTTTTTATACAGTCAACCCTCATTAAAATGGACTAATTAGGGGGGAAGGGTGTCCATTTTAACCGATTGTCCGAATTAACCGGTTTAGGTTAGGTTAATACTGCATAGGCCTACGTATATGATATTGGAAATACAGTACAGTCAGTTCTGCTATAACGCGATAGTTGTGTTCTTGTAAAACATTGTTATAGAAATTTGCGTAATAGAAATAACAGGGCTTATGGAGAAAATAGGGTTAGGTGCAGATTACTACTCGAAATCGAAAAAAATTTAGTAGTTAGCCTAACACAAAGGTTAGCAGTCTAAATTAATGTTACATTCATATCTAATAATGAAATCATACAGTAAATGTAACACTTTACCTTGAAAAAAATGAATATAACTTGATGGGGGAGAAGGATGATTTTGAGGTTGATAACATCGAGCTTCTCCTCAAGGGTTATAGCCTTTCTTTTACGATCATCACCGGGAATGCGATCACCAGAACGCTTCTTGGAGATATTCTTCTTTACCATATTCACAGTTAATACCACAAAATTGGAGAAATAGTAAGCAAAAATCGCATTACAGCAAACAAGCGTTCGCATTATACAAATATCGTTCCTCTATTCATAAATTGAGTTAGAGCCAATTCGCGTTGTCAAAACACTCGTTATAGCAGAACTCACTGTACCGTATATACACCGTACGCTGAACATGATACACAGTAACAAAAATACAGAAAATACTGTAAATATCATATAACTTGCCTATGTCCAAAACTGTTAACTTTTTAACACCATACTCGTCACAAACTCTAGACACCGAAGCACCAGCCTCTAACTTCCTTATAAGTTCCAGTTTCTGGTTCACAGAAAGGGTCACATACTTCTTCTTCGGCGTATTACTCCCCCTTGAAGACATGATGTAAAATGCAAGGCTGAAAGATGCCTAATCACTGAAATATCAACGAAAATTGCAGGGCAACACAAAACTGACACTCGAATATGGTGCTAAGTCAAGAATGACTGGCGGTCTGGCGCACGCGAGCCATCTATCGGACAATCCCAGAACCAGAAATTTGACAGACAGTTCCTCGCTTAATTCAGATATCGTCCGATTTATCAGATATCCGGATTAAAGGGGTCCGTTTTAATGGGGGTCGACTGTACTTACATTTAACACAATGTATACCTTCAACATTACATTACATAAGATTTTAAAATATGGAGTGAGAAAGCAGAAAGGTGTGGGTGATTACAGAGATGGAGTGGAAAGAAGTGGTAACATGCACCAGTGTTGCAGAGCACTAAGCTCCTCAACAACTGATATTTTAATTCACCACCACGCAGTCAACCACGCATCAATTTATGTCAAACAATACGGGGGTGCGTGGGTGGTGTTAGGGTGTCTGGGATTGAAGTTGTAATATTAATTAATATATAAGCAATATAGCAATCGTCATTGACAGTCATTTGATGAATAGTAGCATATTACAATTGTCACTTCATCAAACTACTGGACTGTCATTAAAAAGCCCATACGAGCACGAACTGATCGCTATGAGAACAGCCCAGTCCCAACCATTGTAAAAATTATCAATAACTTGTAATCAACCAGTGTATTCACTCCCAGTCAATCTTACTTTTTGCACTGTCACTATGTTGAAATGCCCTGTAGTTTGAGCTTCTCCCCACCTTGTTATTATATATCATATTTGTATCACTTATTTTACTTGTAAATCAAGAGACTCATTCACCAATTATATAACTGTATATTTTCAGCCTTCCGGCTGCCATGCTCTTTCAATAAACCCTTGAGCATGATGATTTACCCTTTTCAGTATGATGATTTAACCCCTTGAGTATGATGATTTAACCCTTGAGTGTAATGATTTAACCCCTTGAGTGTGATGATTTAACCCTTGAGTGTGGATGATTTAACCCCTTGGGTGAAATTAATTAACATCTTGTGTGTGATGATTTAACCCTTGTGTGGGATGATTTAAACCCTTGAGTGATACTTTAACCTTTTGAATATAATGAGGCTTAAATGCCTTGAGTGTAATGACTTAAACTGACTTGAGACACACCAACATAAGCTCAGGAGATCTAAGATATGAATGAGCAGCAGTACAGGCAAGAACAGTACCAGACAACAGAGAGGCAATACCAGGAACTACAGCCAGGCATTCTGATTTTGGGTTTATTTGCTAAATCATGAGATAAAATATTGCCAGTTTCTGAGAATTTCTGATTTTTGGAATGTCAGATTTCTAACATTTCACTATCATCACCATCAGTATTTTACAGTCATTTTCAAATCTTACATAGGTCTGCCATGATTACCTAAGGGCAAAGTGTCACAGTTTCCATCATGTATATTTAAAGTAAGTTTTACAGCTGGATGTTATTCTTGTTGCCACTGGACCACAGTACCTTACAGCTTACTTGACACTCATAAGCTAATGCCTTTGTAATCTTTATTGATCTTTTTAGGTCTCTGCTCTTATACAGTAATTTTATCACTGAATCCTAAGAATTCTTTGGTGGAGCACATCAGTTTTTGCCATGTCACATAACCTTCATTATCCTAATCATTCAAACATCTGTGTACCACTTAAGCTTACCTTTGGGTCATCAGGCAATGTTTTCTTGCCACAAAATTTACAGTCTAAGTCAACATATTTATGGGCTTCATCAATTAAGAAAGACACTACAGGTTCCATTGAGGGTTTCAGTACAAAAGGAGGATCCTTGGGTCTCCTTTTTGCAGGGGGTTCAACGCAGCGGCGAGCAATTTCTACAGCCTGGGCTGTAAACCAGCGTTGAAACACTGGTGGGTAATTGCACTCCTTCTCTTCAATACTGCAAAGAAAAATTTAATGATTCCAATCAGTATCCTTTTAAAATTTTAACCAACTCCTCTTTGTTTGATAATTTACCTACATGTACTCATCTCTAAAAGATATATACAGTACTAACATGCTTAAAATTTCTCCAGGAGGTGAACATTCCTTCTCAATATAACAGAAGACAAGGTACTCTAAAATCTTCATTCATACATATTTTGAGCATCACTCTCATACATGACTCATATTATACAGGGTTTATCAATTTATCTAAACTGACCACAGTATGAAAATATCCCACTTTGTTCACATATAGCTATCTTTGCTCAACAATGACACAGCAATCAGCATTAAAATAAAGTACTGTAATGAAACACCAAGGTCCATTTTGTAAATAAAGGCAGCATCACACGAGCACTTTCTTCGTCAACTTTCAAATTTTCTCGAGTTAATTCATGAGATGTCAATTTTTCTACAATGTCTAGCTCAGATGGAGCATATCATTTCTGCATGACTGGCTTGCACCAATTTTTGTGGTCAAGTCAAAATCTATACTCGATAATTAGGATATTTATGTAAAATAAATATCGAGCCACATAAAATATAAAAGTACAGTATTCTGTAAATTTTATTAATAAATTGCTTACGTGTAAATTTTCGTAAATACATCTGATATTTTTGTTTCCATTGAGCGGTCTGTTTAAGACATTTGTACTGCATCTTTTCCTCTGTGAACATGCTTGTCCGAAGAATTTATGACAGAGAATATAAGAAATCATCGTTGTCTGTGGGACCCTACAGATGATACATACAACAAAAAACATTGAAAGAAGCATCGTCTCTGTTTATAATTGACGAAAGCAAAAAGAATGGCGCACTAGTTCTGTGTGTGTGTGTGTGTGTGTGTGTGTGTGTGTGTGTGTGTGTGTGTGTGTGTGTGTCACACACAGGGTGGTGAAATGCATCTAGTATAGCAGCATTATGTTAGTGTTAAGGTGCAGGCACTGCTTACTCCCTCTCGCTTTCAGCTGCCGCCGCTGGCTAACCCTCGTGGACAACAGGGAAGCAACTTGCATAAGTCCTCCCCTGCCAGAACACAGCCTCCTCACAATCAAGACTCCTGTTGTACCTCCTCGTGGCAACACACGGTAACTGGGTGCCTTCTGGGCCCAATCTAGACCAACAGGGAATCTTGAGTAGCAGTGGGCCCGGGCCCAGTAGCATGTGGACACGTCCTGGCGCCTACCAACCACTGCCCCGCTGTCTTGAGGATTAACCTTGGCAGGTATAAGGCTACGGGAGTAAACCCTGAACAAAAAATTTTCGGTGGATCCCCGCATCAGGCAGACATGCTTACAGAACTCCAACAAGACCCCCAATGGCGGTATAAGCAGAAGAGATGACCACCATGGAAACCCAACAACTACACCAGCAGACGAAGGCAATGCCTGATGGACAGGCTACTAGGGCGAAACCCAACAAACTGGGCTATCGGCAGTCCATTGCAACTCACCCTCTCCCCAGTCATTCCAACACTTGCACCACTGGATCAGAAAAAGATAGAGCCAAGATGTGTGGTTACAACTCACGCGCAGCCATCATTCGGCTTATCATACCTCTCATCATCATCAAAACCCCTATACCCCCTAAAAGTCCTATGGAGATGGACGAGTGCAACGGAGACAGAGAGAGATGACTACCGAGAGTCTCTAGTCACAACTCTGCACATGGAGGGCACAAATAAGATGGTCGTTTATGCACTGTGTTCTAGGCAGCAGTGCAATCCAGTCCTGTTTGTGCGACTGAGCAGCCCTTTCGAGGAGCCACTATGCTCACCCCAAATGGGGAGGGGGCTATAAAAAATGCCCTAAACATAACCTGCCTAAAAACCCAACCTGACTGGGCAACCACACCCAGTAAGGTTGTCCTTATGAGGTCGAAAAACAATCAAAATCACAGATAAAAAAAAAAAAAACCATACAACCTCTTATGATTGCTGCATGGAATGTCAGGACCCTTTTGGATACTGGCACAAATGCGCGTCCTGAAAGAAGAACTGCCATTGTGGCAAAAGAGCTGGCTAGGTATAACATCAACATAGAAGCCATCAGTGAGTCCAAGCTCCCAGATGAGGGCCAACTCACAGAACGGGGTTCTGGCTACACCTTCTTCTGGAAAGGTTATCCTGCTGCAGAGAGAAATCGCATTTATGGAGTTGGTTTTGCCATCCGCCAACACATCCTACACAGGCTAACTGAAATGCCTATTGGGATCAACGAGCGCCTCATGAAGCTACGAGTCCCACTGAATCACTCACATCATGCCTTTTTCATCAGTGCATACGCCCCAACACTGGATGCAGAGGATGACATCCAGGAGGATTTTATGCCGACCTTGACAGAGTGCTAACCTCTATCCCCAGAGAAGACAAGGTTGTGCTCCTTGGTGGCTTCAATGCCAGAGATGGCAGAGATGCTAACATTTGGCAGGGAACCATAGGGAGAAATGGACTAGGCAAGTGTAATCCCAATGGCCTACTCCTCCTCAGCAAGTGTGTTGCACACAACCTCACTATCAACAATACCTTGTTTAAGCAGGCCGACAAGTTCAAGGGTTCGTGGCAACACCCACGATCCAGACACTGGCATCTCATTGACTACATCATTGTCAGAGAAAGAGATCACCGAGATGTCCTCATCACCCGTGCCATGCGTGGCTCAGACCACTGTGGCACTGATCATCAACTTATCAGAGCCAAGCTCTCACTTCACGTCGCCCCAAAACGGCGAAGGCAGCAAGCCTCCAGAAGAGGTTTTAATACTAAAAGTTTGGAGGACCCAGCAGTAGCACATGCTTTCAGAGAGCAGCTCGAACAAGGGCTTATAAATAACCCAACAGCAAACAACGCGAATCCCAGTGCCGAATGGGAAACTCTTAATACTGTTATGACAAAAACTTGCAGAGAGACCCTCGGCCAGATCAAAAGAATATACACTAGGACCTGTTTGATGAAAATGATCTGGCAATCAAAGTACTCATCAATGATAAATGTGCTGCTTTTACTGACTGGCAGAACAACCCTCAGTCTCGAACCAAAGCTGATACCTTCCACAAGAAGAAAGCGGCAGCCCAGCGGGAACTTCGCAATCTAAAGAATGACTGGCTTAAAAATAAAGCATGTGAAATACAAAAAATTGCAGATCAGCACAAGATGCATGAATTCTTCAATTCCATTAAAACATTTTATGGGTCAATCACTCGTGGCGCAGCCCACCTCCACTCATCTGACGGCAACTTCACAATTCAAGACGATGAAGACCTCCTTCAGTGCTGGAAAGAGCATTACTATTCATTGCTCAACCGAAACACCTATGTGGATGTCCTGACTACCCAGCAGGTCCCTCAGCATCCAGAGCTGACCCACCTCAGCTATCCTCCATCCCTGGATGAGGTAGTTACTACCATCAATCAGATGAAAAATAACAAAGCCTCAGGCCTGATGGAATCCCTGCCAAGGTGTATAAAGCAGGAAGACCTCTGCTTACCAGCTATCTCCACTCTCTCCTGGAGAATATATGGGAAAAGGAGGAAATCCCCCAAGCTCTTAAAGACGCCTCCATTATCAATATTTATAAGAACAAGGGAGACCTGTCAGAACTGTGGCAAATACCGTGGGATCTCACTGCTGTCCGTAGCTGGCAAGATTATCGCTCGAGTCCTCCAAAACAGACTTCTTCCTGAGGCGGAAAATTTCCTCCCGGAATCTAAATGTGATTTTAGACCATTACCTGGTACCACTGACATGATCTTTGCTGCCCGCCAAATACAGGAAAAGTGCAGAGAACAGTGTCGTTACCTGTACATGGCCTTCACTGACCTAACCAAGGCCTTTGACTCTGTCAACAGAGAAGCCCTCTGGTGGACCTTCAGCCATTATGGCTGCTCACCAAAATTCATCAACATAGTGAAACAACTCCATGATGGTATGAACGGCAGCGTCCTGCACAACGGCACCCAGTCTGAGTTCTTCCCCATCCAAACAGGGGTTAAACAAGGGTGTGTACTGGCGCCAACTCTCTTTTCCACCAACTTGGCTGCCTTCCTTACTCGTGCCAGTGCCAATTTAGCCAGTGGGGTGAACATCGATGACTCCAGGCAGGAACAAACGTGTCGGCAGCTTCCATTACTGAACTCCAGTATGCAGACTACCTCAACCTTGTTGCTCACACTAAATACGACCTACAGGAGATCCTGAACATCTACGCAGATGCATATGCACACTTCGGCCTTGAGGTGAGTGTATGTAAGACTCAAATTCTCTTTCAGCCTGCCCCTGGTTAAGACACACCTCCACCATCCATCAGAACTTAACAGTACTACCCACTCTCATGTTACCCACTTTCGGTATTTTGCCTACCACCTGTCCACCACCGCAGACATTAATGAAGAGATTCAGCATCAGATTAGATGTGTATCTCAAGCCTTTGGCGGACACCGAAATCGTGTTTTCAGTGGTAGGGAGCTGAAATTATCTACAAAACTGCATTTATATCGAGCAGTGGTCCTCCCCACCCTGCTATATGGCAGTGAGACATGAGTCACATACAGGAGGCACCTCAAGGCACTTGAAAACTTTCACCAACGTAGTCTACAATCCATCCTCCGAGTTTACTGGGAAGACAAGAGAACAAATGGCAATATTTTGCTGACACCAACTGTAGGAGCATCAAGGTTACCATTATCCATGAACAAATACGATGGACTGGCCAAGTTACCCGCATGGACGACAGTAGACTGCCAAAGCAGCTACTTTATAGTCATCTTACGCATAGTTAATGTAATGCCGGCAGGCAATTGAAAAGGTATAAGGATAGTCTTAAGACAAACCTGAAAAGGTACCAAATCAACCCCCTCACCTGGGAGTTGATTACTCCACATCATAACGCTTGGAGGAGCACCACACAAGAAGGTGTCAAAACTTTCGAGTAAGCCCGACTGCAAACTGAGGCAGACAAGCGCCAATGCCGGAAAGATGCTGCCACCGCCCCTCCCGCACTAGATGCAGCCCTCCACATGTGCAACGAATGTAGACAATCCTGCGGGTCCCGTATTGACCTCTTTAGTGACCTCAAAACTCGCCAACTTAGGTGACGCACTTAATAACTCATATCATTGTATTATAGCTCTGAGAGAGAGAGAGAGAGAGAGAGGAGAGAGAGAGAGAGAGAGAGAGAGAGAGAGAGAGAGAGAGAGAGAGAGAGAGAGAGAGAGAGAGAGAGAGAGAGAGAGAGAGAGAGAGAGAGAGAGAGAGAGAGAGAGAGAGAGAGAGAGAGAGAGAGAGAGAGAGAGAGAGAGAGAGAGAGAGAGAGAGAGAGAGAGAGAGAGAGAGAGAGAGAGAGAGAGAGAGAGAGAGAGAGAGAGAGAGAGAGAGAGAGAGAGAGAGAGAGAGAGAGAGAGAGAGAGAGAGAGAGAGAGAGAGAGAGAGAGAGAGAGAGAGAGAGAGAGAGAGAGAGAGAGAGAGAGAGAGAGAGAGAGAGAGAGAGAGAGAGAGAGAGAGAGAGAGAGAGAGAGAGAGAGAGAGAGAGAGAGAGAGAGAGAGAGAGAGAGAGAGAGAGAGAGAGAGAGAGAGAGAGAGAGAGAGAGAGAGAGAGAGAGAGAGAGAGAGAGAGAGAGAGAGAGAGAGAGAGAGAGAGAGAGAGAGAGAGAGAGAGAGAGAGAGAGAGAGAGAGAGAGAGAGAGAGAGAGAGAGAGAGAGAGAGAGAGAGAGAGAGAGAGAGAGAGAGAGAGAGAGAGAGAGAGAGAGAGAGAGAGAGAGAGAGAGAGAGAGAGAGAGAGAGAGAGAGAGAGAGAGAGAGAGAGAGAGAGAGAGAGAGAGAGAGAGAGAGAGAGAGAGAGAGAGAGAGAGAGAGAGAGAGAGAGAGAGAGAGAGAGAGAGAGAGAGAGAGAGAGAGAGAGAGAGAGAGAGAGAGAGAGAGAGAGAGAGAGAGAGAGAGAGAGAGAGAGAGAGAGAGAGAGAGAGAGAGAGAGAGAGAGAGAGAGAGAGAGAGAGAGAGAGAGAGAGAGAGAGAGAGAGAGAGAGAGAGAGAGAGAGAGAGAGAGAGAGAGAGAGAGAGAGAGAGAGAGAGAGAGAGAGAGAGAGAGAGAGAGAGAGAGAGAGAGAGAGAGAGAGAGAGAGAGAGAGAGAGAGAGAGAGAGAGAGAGAGAGAGAGAGAGAGAGAGAGAGAGAGAGAGAGAGAGAGAGAGAGAGAGAGAGAGAGAGAGAGAGAGAGAGAGAGAGAGAGAGAGAGAGAGAGAGAGAGAGAGAGAGAGAGAGAGAGAGAGAGAGAGAGAGAGAGAGAGAGAGAGAGAGAGAGAGAGAGAGAGAGAGAGAGAGAGAGAGAGAGAGAGAGAGAGAGAGAGAGAGAGAGAGAGAGAGAGAGAGAGAGAGAGAGAGAGAGAGAGAGAGAGAGAGACGGAAAAAGTGCAAGTGACCAACATGACTCCTGGCAGATATTGCCTTGTCCAGGGGCTTGGCTCTCTAGTGGCAGGTCAGGCTACACTGTATTGTCAAATCAGTGTCAATTACTGTTTAACACTGACTCACCTTGTGAACCAGAGTAGTTTTTCCTTGGTAGTTATTCTGTAAGCAAGCAAGTTTGGCCAAGTGTTTTGACAAAGGTAGAAGTAGGCAATCAAGAGAGCCTGGAATGAGCTAATCAATGGAAAGAGATCAAGTTGGAAGACAGATTTTAAGGTGGAGGGATGTGGTCAGGAAAGATATACAGTTGAGAGTGGAGGATGGTGAAGACAGAACGTGGCAGAAATGGATACAATAGGCTGACCCTTGACCTTTGAGAATGAGGAAGACAGAATGTCTGGGATCAAGGAATACATTCCTATTTATTTAATAACTAGTTACAGTAAGCCCTTGCTTAACGTCGACCCACTTAATGTAGTTTTGGTACTATGTCACTAAACTTTAGAGGCCACAAATTTTTTTAACGTCCAGGTGACTCGGTACAAAGTCGTTTGCATCATCACGGACAACTTTTTACAGCGCATCACCCTCTCCCTTAGGACAAATATTTCATTTACCTTTTTCACAATATGTATTTAGGATGGTGTGTGCATATAAATGAGTAAGAATAAATGAAGAAAGTTACTATATCTACCAAAAAATAAGTTGAAAACATGTGCAGTACTTAAATGTACTTAAGGGACTAAAAAAAATTTCTCTTGTGCAAAATATATGATGTCTATATTCATATTGTCCGCTGTCTCGCAAGGATTCCAGCAATGTAATTTATATTCTGCTAACTTTAATCTGTGACATTTTATATGATAAAAACTTTAAGCCTATAAAACCACGTCACCCTTACCAGAAGTCAAAGGGGAGTTGATTAAGTATGACAGCTGGGCCGGAGCACGGACAACGGTTACCTAGTGGTTTTTATTTATCTGTCATATAGGGGGAGTTTATGTTTTTCTCTTAAAAAATCTCAATGAATGTGACTTTATAGTAATGCATACAAGCACCTCACCAGGCATCACACAAGAAGCTTTCAATTTATGTACAGGTATATGTAATGTATTTCATGGGGCAAAGGGAGGCTCAGGAATGTAACTCCCGTATTTTATCTATTTCTTATGGGGAAAATTGATCCGCTTAACATTGTTACGTATAACGTCGCGTTTTCAGGAACGTAACCCCGACGTTAAGTGAGATCTGACTGTACCTCTGCCAGAAAATTATTCACTAGAGAATGAAACCCCATGGGGCCTTACCTAATTCTCCATCAGGCATTCACTAAATATTTGGCAATATGATATATAGCTTACAAGCTGTTACATACTTGTATGTGTGTCATAAAGCAGTAAAAGGAGACAATAAATGTCAGCTGAATGACTGGGAGATCCTGCCAGCACAAAGGGACTTTCTCTTGACAACAAAGTTTCCTGACCAAGATGTCAGGAAGAATATGGAGGATTCACCCATAACTCAATGGCTCTTTCACATAGAATGGTGGTAGCCTTTCATAGGAGACTCATACTGAGATCAGGTTATGATCGGAAAAGTAGCAGAGTAAACAGCATTTCACAACTTAATCCAAAACTGATAAGGCAGACTCTGTCACGAAGGATTAGCATCCTCTCTAAATCATAAGTCACTCAACAAATGTTGTCATAAAAAATACAGTATTGTATATGACTAGAGAAAAACTTTTTCTTACCCAATCTGCTTGTCAGGATAATTTTCTGGTACTGTCAAGTTGTACTTAATGAAGTATTGACCTTGTTTCACCTTGAGCACCACCGAAGATGTTTTCTGACGTAACTTTAACTCATCTGAACCAGCGATCAGTTTCTTCTTTATGGTGGAAATTTCTTCTGAACAACAACAAAGAGGACTTTCTTCAACAAAGTTGCGGACGAATCTTAAAACTTGGAGCACCTGTCAAGACCAAATCAAAACATTCATGTTGCTGTTTTAAGTGTCATAATTTCAACACAACAGTATTTAATCAGTGAAAGAATGGAAGACTGGAGCATGAAATCCTATTTTACAGTAAGAGAAGAAAACGACTGACTTGCAATAGACATTGACTTGAATCCTTTCCTGCTAGTTTTTTCCCAGTTTGTCATGTGTTGGTAGCTGCACTATGAAACCCTTTAGGATAAGTTATGTCACTGGATGGTTAAGTAAAGATCAGTTTAGACTAGTCCCCCATTTTATTTCACCTTACACTAACCTAATCTAACCTAACCTAACATCTAGGAAGCATTAAGGTGTTTTACATTAAGATAAAATAAGTTGAGGTGTCTAATCTTCAGGTGATCCAAAAAGTGAATGTCCTCACCTGTGGTTTCCCTAAGTACTTGTCAGCCTCATTCTCACAAAGCCTAGTAAGACCATCTAACAGTTTAGGGGAGATGTATCGGCTCTTCAGCTCTATCAACGCTCGAGTTGTTGGATAGTCGGGTGAGAACTGGAAGCACGCAACCAGCTGCTTGTACTTAGTCTTCCTGAAAGAAAATAGAAATTGAAGCCTTAACTCTTGTAAATGACATATTCATCCAAGAAGCTCCATATTTCAAAACCAAGTCAGGAAAAAGAGACTCATGTACTGCCTGATAACCCAAATCAACCCTGACAATAATTGATGGCACCAACCACACAATAACTGATACTCCCCAAGCCAATCAACATCATGGGAGATTTGGAAGCAAAGGTCACCATTCAGTGTAGGGCACTATGAGTCAAGGTGCCACAGTAACCCATCATCAGACATATTGGATTTCCAGGACCAACCTTCAGTCCAATTGACCCCTCATGATAAATTTACATCTCTTATCTCTACACTGCTCCACAACAGAGAAAATAAGTCAAACGTTCCAAGAGATATAAGCTGGGCTATTAACAAACACTATGCCTGCAAACTCCACAGGAGGAAACTACCCTCACACTATCATAATGAAGGTGGTACAGTACAGGTATACTGTACGTGTAAAAGAACTTGAAGGAAGCACCAATCAAAAAAATGGCCAATATAATTAAATTTAATCGGTCACAGTATGAACTATCATAATGACTCACATGAAAAGCAGCCACAATTAAAGTCCAAAAAGTTAATCTATATTAATTCATCATTTCACCACCTATCAGCTTCCTAGTCATTTGGGCAATTGGTCTGTTCTTTTTTACTTTGTTACAACCTCAAATGCCAATTTGAAATTCTTCATGGAAAAAGTTAAATGTTCACATTGTATGAGAAACAAGCACACAACTTGCAAAGACTCGATGAAAACAATTTAAAGCATAAAGGAATAACTACCTTAATCATTTCCTCATAAGGACTACACCGTAGTGTTAAGTGTAACTCACTCTTTATGGGTAAGAAAGGGTATGAAGGGTTCCATAATGTTGTCATCTACAACAAGGACAACCATGCAATAACATGCTGAGGCAGATGCTCTGTGTCCCCCACAGTGAAATCAGTGAGCTGCGAAAATCACATACCTGTAGTAAATGTAGACAATTCTTACAAATTAAAACACCAAAATAAAAATCACCCTTCTCGTGCTACTAACACAACGCACGACTGCAAGTCTCCCACCTATAACTGTTAACAGGTACAGTATGAAAGGCACTATGCTCACTTATAGGAGAATTTGCTAAGCAGAAAGATGTCTTTTCAGCCTGATACAGTGGCTGCAACTGAGAGGTGAATCCAAAAATGAGCCACATGACAGGGGCAGTGTGCACAGACTGATGAGACATTAATTATTAGTCATTGGGCCAATTGCAAGAACTGCCGTTTGGTACACGATGCTGTGGTATTCCAGCGGTTGTAATACAATAGAAGAAAAGTTTAGTGATTATTCAAGAATGGCCATGGTGGTTCCCGACCGTCGTTTGTTGGCACTACATCATCGTAGTGTAGTCAGGCTTACCAACTGGCGGAAGACTAGGAGGTTGCTACGCTGCGACCCTCAAAACGTTGTCGGTGGCACGAAACGTTTGCTCGTGCCACACGATTTACGAGTATGAATAACTTGTATCCCAAGCTAAGGTGCTCCTCATTTTCCTATTTTGTTGGATTATAAGCCAATTCTGGGTTATGAAATACGATCACTTACAGTGAATATAGGTAAATAAAGCCTGTGACAACCATAAGAACACAGGAATAAAGTGTAGTATCTGTTCCTTTCTTCTTTGTCCTTATTACTAACAATAAAGTATGAAGTTTGTCACAAACTTGGGGTTGGATGAGTGTAAATAAAGAGAATTATGGCCTGTTCTGTGGATGAAGCCAGTAGAATATAACAAAGTACAGTATTAGGTATTATAATTTTGCTATGCCAGTTATGAACTCACTGTACAGATGAATTGGGATAAAATTTTGAAAAATATCACCATAACTGTTAGTTTTCTATCAAACATAAAATTATCTTTGTATCAAAAATATTTACTTCCATATTACAGTACAGTGACCCCTCGTTTAACGAACGCCTTGGTTAACGAAATTTCGGTTAACGAACTGCCTTCCATAAGGATCTTCAATTCGGTTAACGAACAAAAATTCGGTTAACGAATTTCTTACGAACCGACCTCAACATGTTTTCGCTTGCACTGACCGGGCAACCAGCTTTAGTATCAGTCCGCCAATACATTAACCGGTTCTAGGGCTTAAATTCCTTACTATTTTAGTAAATATCAAGAAGTTTATACTATTCAATAATTTTAAAAGTTTAATATTCAATTTTTTAGTCATTTTAACAATTATTGAACATAATTGAAGGTAAAGAAACTAGTTTCTGGCACGCCATCCATCATGTTAACACACCATACAGGCGTCAGTCTTTGTGTCTTTTCAGTGGAGGTAACATCTTGCTTGAGACTCTCTTCAGCTAAATGCTTTTTTTCTGTGTTTCCAAGCAAATTATTGGTCATTTTGAAATTTATTTTACATATTGACAATAAATAATGCAGTGCAGTGTTGATTTAAAGAAAATAATCTTGAACTACACCAAGAGAACTAAAATTTTATGGGTGAAATGGCGCCATGGGGTGACTTCTCTTCCACCCCAATGCCTTCTCTTCTCCCTTCTCCTCCACCTCCCACTTCAAATGCACATCATCATCATCATCCAGGAGCCTTCTACATACACACCTCAAAGTAAGTGAACTTTTCTACCATTTTTGTTGAAATTAGGAAATTTTCGGTGAGCTGGAACCAATTACCCAAAAACCCATTGAAACAATGGTTTCGGTTAACGAACTTTTCGGTTAATGAACGACCTTCTGGAACGGATTGAGTTCGTTAACCGAGGGACCACTGTACTGTATACAAGTATAAAGATCAGTTATCAACAAGATATGAAACCTTGAGATAATGTTTCCTACTTGTCTCCACCTGATTATAGTAATGCAATAAATACCCTAAGAAAGATAGCAAGACATGAACACTTTCCCAATGTCAGGAGTAAAAATATATACAATACAGTATGTTAATGACATGGACTAAACCAGCAGTTGAAGATAAGTATCAGATGTTTAAATGGTCTTTTATTTGGAAAAATATTACATGTAAATTATGGATCCTCACCAGAGAGGCTTCATATAGGTGGTGTACAGACATTTGCTCACAAGACAAATACAGGGCTGCCTCACTTATCGCAAAGGTTACGGGCATGAAACTCGTTGCGAATATCGAAATTGAGAATAGCGGAGCAATTTCTCCCATAAGTAATAATGTAAATAAGGGGATACAGGCATCGCAGTGGTCACGGCCGTCAGATTTTAACAATTGTTTTACTCAATACATTTAGAACATAAAATAAATAAAGAAATAAGGGCATAATATCAAATAAACATCAAAAACAAACATTTTGAGTTTATTAGGCGTACAGTGGTCTCTCGGTTAACGAACACAATTCGTTCCACAGAGTCGTTCGTTAACCGAAAATTTTGTTAACCGAATCCATTATTTCAATGGGATATTGGGTAATTGGTTCCAGCTCACAGAAAAATACATACAAAGTAAAGCCAAAATGCATTAAGTCAGAAACACTCCTAAAATTCCCCTAAATTGCCCTTATACCCCGCTTTACGCGGTTTCACTTTCCAACATTTACGCGGTACCTCGCCAGAAACGGACTTTCACTTTCCGCAGTGCATCTACTCATATACGTGGGTAAAGTATAATTTTTTATTTAGCTCATAAAATTCATACAAATTACCCGGCCAGAATATAATTTACATTGCTGGAATTCTTACAATATGATGATCATTTTGAATATAAACATCATGGATTTTGCATTAGACATACAAATTTTAGATCTAATGTAATAATTTGGTTTACACAAAGCAAATATTTTATCTTTTGTGCAAAATATATGAAGTTTACATTCAAAATATTCCCTGACCTGCAAGGAATCCAGAAACGTCAATTATATTATCCTAACTTTAGTCTGAGGTATTATTTATTACTAAAAATGTAAGTACAGTGGGGTATGCTATAACGAATCTAATTGGTTCTAGAACCTTGTTCGTTATAGCATTCGTTCGTTATAGGATTAATCCGTTCCAGGCCCCCAAATACAACCACTTAACACTGAAAAATATAATATAAAATTGTAAAAATTGTAAGAAAGTGCATAAATATGCATCTAAACCCCTGAAATAAAGAATATCATTAATATTTGTAATAAAAAAACAATAAATTAGAAAAAAAAAGAAAAAAAATTAAATAATGTTCGTTGTAGGAGTTTCGTTCATTATAGCATTCTCAATTTTATAGGTAAAACCGTTCGTTATAGGAATATTCGTAGTAGGATCCGTTCGTTATAGCATACCCCACTGTATACTGTTTTCACCCGAACATTTCTCTGGTAGGGAGGGAAGGTGTGGGGTGGGGGGGAGGGTTGGGACCAACCGACCCAGCTGGTGTGGTGTGAAGAGGGTGGGAGGCAAGGTGGGGTATTTTGATTGACAGATAGTGTGTGAAAAATATTATTTTTTTTATTAACTGAAGATATTTGTTTTAGCTCATAAAATTCATACAAATTACCCGGCCAGAATATAATTTCCATTGCTGGAATTCTTACAATATGATGATCATTTTGAATATAAACATCATGGATTTTGCATTAGACATACAAATTTTAGATCTAATGTAATAATTTGGTTTACACAAAGCAAATATTTTATCTTTTGTACAAAATATATGAAGTTTCCATTCAAAATATTCCCTGACCTGCAAGGAATCCAGAAATGTCAATTATATTATCCTAACTTTAATCTGAGGTATTATTTATTACTATACATTAAAATCTAGTGTTTTCACCCAAACATTTCTCAAAGAGGTAGGAGCCAGTGAGCTGGGAAGAGGGGAGGGTGGGGGGGGAGGTGAGTCCATTATTTGAATGGACATTAACATGGCAACTGTATTTCTCTTAAATATTAATTGTGTGAGCATACCATCATAAAATTAAGATGTTATTTTTACTACAACATAGGTATT